GACACAGCAAGAGAGGGAACACAAGCAGGGGAAGCGGGAGAGGGAGAAGCAGGCTTCCCGCCAAGCAGGGAGCCTGATGCAGGGCTCGATCCCAGGACCCTGGGATCATGACCTGAGCTGAAGGCAGATGCTTAACGACTGAGCCACCCAGGCGCCCCTTATAACCTGTGTTTTACCATAAGCCTTAAGTTATGATCCACAAATTCCCTACCACTGAGGGTTCCTTGGAAACACAAAACAGCATAGGCCTAAAACTTGTTGGAAGCACCAAAAAACATCTGTTCATGTGGGAAAAAATTGCACATCGTAACCTGACAACAAATGTTGTGTTTATATGTGGAATGCACGCTACTTCATTGAGTTTTATGATTGAAAAGGAATTTGGAAATTCTCCACAGCAACTAAAGTCTTTACTCTAAGTCCTTTTTCCAACATGAATGAACTTCATAACACACCATTTTAAGCTATGGTCCAGAAAACCTCACAATTTTACCATATCGCTAGCTTGTTGACACTAAATAGACTTTTAAAAACAGTCATCCATGTTGTTTTATGCATCAGTAGTTCATTGAGCATGTACAAGGAGGTTAATCTGGGTAATGTATTTTGTCATTGTTCTCTAAATGTCTAGAGTGAATGACCTAATTCTAAGACTCTGTAATTATATAATCTGAGATCTTATAGGAAAGAACACTCCCTAAAGACACATCCAGAACCACTATGATATATACCTTATGAATAATCCTAGATTAGCTCAGGTAACTCAAGTGTTTGCTTTTGTGTGTTCTATTTTTTAATTTACCTATTAATTTGTATGTCATTTTGAACGATAAAAAATGACTGACATATTAATTGTAAGCTAAAGACAATGTACAAGTGATTTATTTTTTAAATGTATTTCCAGGGGCACCTGGGTGGCTCAGTCGTTAAGCGTCTGCCTTCAGCTCAGGTCATGATCCCAGGGTCCTGGGATGGAGCCCCACATCAGACTCCCTGCTCAATGGGGAGCCTGCTTCCTCTCCCACTCCCCCTACTTGTGTTCCCTGTCTCGCTGTGTCTCTCTGTCAAATAAATAAATAAAATCTTTAAAAATAAAAAATAAATGTATTTCCATACATATTTTATTTATTTATTTATTTATTTATTTATTTATTGGGGGGGGCAGGGGAGTGACAGAGGGAGAGAATCCTCAAGCAGACTCCTCACTGAGCACAGAGCTAGAATGGGCTCAATCTCACAACCCTGAGATCATGACCTGAGCCAAAACCAAGAGTCAGATGCTTAAATGACTGAACCACCCAGGCGCCCCTCCATACATAAATGATTTTAAATGTCAAATGCTATCAGGTATTAGGGTTAAAGCATTTGTAGTATATCATTTTTCCTTTAAAACAGAAAGTTGGATGCTTTTCTATTTTGGGGGGTTTTACCTCATATTTAAACATTTATCAATTGACAATACTATATAATGTAAGTGATTTGAAAAACATAAAAAGTCAATCACCATTTTTAATGACATCTACCATGGCAAGTGTAACAGCTACTCCATTATCCCATTACTTCTGTGACAGGATGCAGTGACCTTTCATTTTGAGCTGCTTCTAATGCATTCTCAGTACTGTCAGCAGGTATTTTAAGCAGTTGTTCTCACAATGACAGTTAATTTCAGGGGCCATTTTTACCCATACAAAACTAATAACATAAACAATTTCACATTCTTCCATCAAACAAAAAAGGTAATGAGGGCCATGTCTCAGGTCACCAAAAATAATGCAAAGATCTAGTTTAGCATCTTATAGCTGGCAGGGATCTTAGTTTCTACCCACATCTCCTTTCATAGAGAAAGAACTTATCTATAAAACAGATTCAATAGTTCAATGAATTCTCTAAGTCCACACATGTAACTGGGTTGGAAGGGTTGAAAGGTTCAAATTAAGGTTAGAATTAACAGTTCGGACTCCTGACTTCTTGAACTCATTCTGCACCAAGTAAACAGGACTTGACATCAATTTTTATGGGCTGGCTTGTAGATTCATTATGGAATCAAGATTCTTTCTGCTTTATTATATTTCTACTACTTTAAGCAAAAGATCTTTTTTTAAATCACTGGCCACACTCTGACTGACTCACTATATATTTATATAAAATAACTAGTCTTATTCATTTGAAAACATCCCTCAACTAAGTAGTGGATAGTTTTCAATATTTCTTAAACATGAAGAAGGAAGATTTAAAAGAATAACTTAAGGTAATTTGAGTGGTATTACTGAGAAAGTAGAAAAGCTTTTTTAAAGAATAAGGAAAATATATAAACTGCTGAGGAACTGGGTAACTCACGGTCAAAACAGAAGAGAAATACACAAATTCACCTTAGGAGTGTAAAGAAAAGAGGAAAAAAAGGAAAGCAGAATAGATTTTTAACAGAATTATTTTGTTTATCTCTCATCTTTCTTTAAAAAATGACAGAAGGAATATTTTTTAAAACTATACCGAAATGGGCCAATCCACAAAGTAGGAAACAAACAATAAAGGAGCAATACTTTGACTGCAACCCACTCAAACCAGCAGGGCCAGAAAGTCTTTGTTGCCACAAGGCAGCTGGTGTCTGAGTACACAAAACCCTTTTATTTCAATGTCATATTAAATCCTGGGACATAAAACCAGAGGCAGACTGCAGAGTCTCTGGTTCTCCAAGACAGGACTATACAGATCACAACTAAAGTCAAGGCCAACTAATGTTCCCACCTAAATGAAAAAAAAAAAAAAAAAATTAACTAATTAGGAAAAAATGTCTAAAAATTGTTTATTTAGTCTGAGAGAAAGATGGACTTCATGTTTAGCTGATAAAACGGCTGCATATTATACAGTACCCTCTTTATAAAGAATTATCTTATATTTCAATATCTATAGGGGAAATCAGCATAATCACAGAAAAAAAAATAGGGGCTTCATTCCCATTTCACATATTCAGGATGATATCCTAATACCTGCAAATCAAATGAATTATAAAAGTAGTAATAATTAAGTTTATATGAGTATATGGGTTATAACATCCAAGTGGATGTGAGGCTTTGATGAAATAAGAAATTTATAACCACTAGTACAATATTAGTCATTATACTAGGTATGATTTCAAAAATCATTTATTATAATCATGACCCCAACCTCCTACAACCTAATGATTATCCCCAACACTAATTTTACCTCTTTAAAGGTGGCAAAATAAATGCTGAAGTCTATGTTCAAGAAACTATGCTACTCTTACAATGATTTTTCTCTTTTGGTCTCTATTGACAGTCTCAGGAATTTCGTTCTAACCAATTAAATCCCTTCCTTCATTCTGATGCAAATGGAATACAAAAATAATAAGTGCTCAGAGAATATTATTACATACGTTCTAGGCTCAAATATTTAGCTCAACAGTCATCTTTCCTTGGGCCAGCCTCCTGACTTTTTTTTTTAGAGCTGCTCTAAGCCCCTCCCACCCCCCCAACCCCACTGCCCTGGGATTGGCAGTTACTCTCTGAAGCCTGGCACCTTCCTTAGTCTATTATTATCTCTCTGATTCTTTCAAGGCTCTTTGCATGTACCCTTTACGTTCCCCCAACATAATGTCAAATTGTAATTCATTAAATAGATATTTACTGAAGATTTAATATGTGCAAAGCAAATGTCTTGACCTCAGATCTGTGATTAACCCTTATACACAAAAGTTCTGAAAAAAAAATTTAATTGGCTCTCTTCCAATTCAAATTTCCAGAAGTACTTCCAAAGGTTTCTTAAACTATTTTTGTAAATGTATCAATGACAATTCCTATTTAAGTGCTATGCTCTTGTAAGTTGAGTTTAAATGAGGAAATTTTCATTTTTTTCCTACTTTGAATGGATTTAGAAAAAAATTGTTTTTACAGTTATACATAACTTTAGAGAAACACTAATTTTTCACTAGAAACTAATCCAGATATTTATTAACTACATACTGTTATATGTTTATTCATCTTCCCAAAACGGAAATATCTGAAATGAATCTGTAGTCAATTAAAACAATCCTACGCAAGAGAACTTGTCTCTCTCTCTCTCTCTCTCTCTCACACACACACACAAGAATGACACCAGAAGCAATACTTTGTGATTTTTTTAAAAATCAAGTGTACCCGTTAGCTCAGCTGTCCACTTGGCCTTACCTGCAGCCATAACTTGTTATGCACAGCATCTCTCCCCGTAGCAATACACTGAAACGTAGCATTCTGCCCTGCATTGACCTCCACGTCCCCCAGACGGAGAAAATGAGGAGATTTATCTGTGAAGGCAGAAAAAATATTTATTATTTTCACATGAAGAAAATGTGCCATGTTACTTTTTCCCAAGAGAATAATGTTGTTAATACTTTTACCTTTGGCCAACCCGAATACCGTATGGAAGAAAATGGAGTTTTGTACTGAAATACACACTCCCTCTCACAATTCTCCTTTTATCCCCCCCCCCATCATTGCTACAGCATTGTTGTATACAGAGAGAACACTCAACATTTACTGCTGAGGTTGGCCACAGCATGTTGCATATGGGTGATAAAAAAACAGTTACAAGTCAAAGAAAGCAAAAGAGATCAAAAAGGCATAAATTAGAGCATAATAGAAAACTATAGTGAAAACAGAAAATGATATCTAACATACTGAATAGACATGGTGGTCGAACTATTAATTTACAACTTATGCAGTTAGATCTCCTTTCTTTTAAAAAATATTTCAGTAGATATAATTCTCTAGTACTTCAAAGAACAAGGGAATATTTTTGTTTCTCTCAAATAGAGTATCAGCTTGACCATTGCTAATTCTACTTCCTATTCCTTCATAGTTGGAAGAAAGTTACCCAAAAGCAGTATCAGACCAATAAAAAGTGATGACTGTAGTCAAAACCTACATGACTTATATAACTGTCAAATGAGTGTTCTCTATGATTACCTTTTAAAACTGAAGCTTATTCATGTTTTCAACTGAAAGTAAATATACACAGGAAAAGTTAAGCCTCGGTAAGTAAAAACAAGCTCACAGAAGACCGTATCACAGTAAAACTGCTCTTGTGCTTAACTCCTATTTTTATTTGTTTACTCCTAAGAGCCTTTCTTTCACATTTCTCTTCCAGTAAGTGTAAATGAACAGTAGATGGAAACATCATGCTCATGTACTAATGGACTGAATTTATGAGCAAACCAACCTGAATTTTGAGCGAGATGAATTTGTTCCTCTTTTTCTTAGAATGTACTGCATGGAATAAATCGTTTGACCCTTGCCTACTACCTCTAATTCTTCAGCACCTCATCTTAGTATAGGCTTTAAAAAGATGGCTTCCCAGGGGAATTCTACCAAACATTTAAAGAAGAATTAATA